GACTTCATTCCTGTGTAAAGAAAGGAAGGGGCAAGTGCCCGAGTCAGGAGAGCTTCTGTGCCCTGCATGCCATAAAGTAGTGCTTGAAGGATTTTATTACCATGTTAGCCCTGGCAGAGAAAAAAAGAAGAAAAATAGCGGAACCTGTCTCATTTCCATACAAGGACCAAAAAAAGTCAATGGGAAGCCAGTTTTGTTTGGGGAAAAGGTAGGTGGGAGATGTACGTGTGTGTAAAATTACACAGCAGAGGATCCAGTCACAGATTCCCGAAGCCACAATGAGTTTGGTTGTCATTTGCTGCCAGTAGACTTGATTCAGGCAAGCAACACAACAATTAAATCCAGCTGATATCTTTGGAGAGATACATGTCACCTTTTCCCTGAACTCAGCCGAAAGTTACATGTGATTCATGTTGGCTAAATTGTGCCTGTTGACCCTACAGCAATGTTTTCACTGGTTTCTCTGAGAAAAGGATCAAGCTCAGTTTATGAATGCAGAACAGGCAAAAGAACCACTTGGAGAAATTGAGCAGAATGAAACTTTGCATATACTTAAATAAAGGAATTTATTTTTCTAAAAAAAAAAATCCCAAAACAAATTGGAAAATAAAACAGTGGTTTGATCTAGATACAGCAGCACTGCAATATTATTAGACAGGTATGAAGAATTCAAGCAGCCAGAAAACACAGAAGCAATTATTGTAACAACCTCAAAATGAAAACAATTCTCACTCTACAATGTAAGAAACTCCCTGGAAATTAAAACATAATGGAAAACCCTTTGGATTCTATTATTATTGTTATTATCATTAATATCATCATTATTTTACAATATCAACAGCCACTAATTTTTCTAGTTGAGAACGTTTGGTTCCATTTATTATAAATGTATAATTTATGGAAAAAATATTATAGAAGTATCTGCTTCTTTTACAGAGACTATGGTATAAGAAGTTCTTGAAAGCACTGAATCCTGAATATCTATTTTGAACAGATTCCATGATGTAATTGTGTGATTAGCAGATGTGATTTCTGTAAAGTCAGTGATAAAGGCTAGTCCTAATGTGGATATTTGTCTACCAGTTTAATCAACCATCAGCTATAGTCAACTACATTATGGGGTCATAAAAGTTTTGAAAATGCAGCTGGCAAAGTTTTATTAATTACCTCCTTGTGTAAGGATCTATAAGGCTGTCCAGCTGTGGCAACCAAGAACAGAAATGAGAAGACTTACGGTACTGGATCTTTCTGGCAACATTTTTACTGTTGTTGAAAGTCTGAGAATCTAGAATTCTTTTTGGCATTCTTTGATTTTAAATATATGGCACTAGATATGCCGAAATATATTCTTAAGATTCAGCAATCAAGTGTCATCCTGTCTTAAATACACGTGTGTACTGTGAGCTCCAGCTCACCAAAGTTTCTGCTAGAATAAATTCTGGTAGTCTGTGATGGTGCCACTGGGTTTCTGTTTGCTTCATAAAGATGCTGGAGAATATTCATGATGAAAAGGGGTGGGGGAACCAGCACCTTCTTTCCTCCCCTCCTCCTCCAAAGCATGCACCACAATGCTAACCATGTGTTAAACTGCAGGTAGAGAGAGAACGCTGCACACACAACAGTCTGTTCCTTGATGCAAGGGCAGTCTCCAGAACACAGCTGTACAATTATTTGCCACTGCAATCAGAGTAATTATGTGTGGATGCCATTTTCACTCTTTTTTCCATACTGATGAATTTTAATATTAACAAGGCAAAAGGCTTACAGAGTTACTTCTGCCACACTCCAGCAACACTTGACCATACACCATAGCACCTCTGCAGGAACCGTAAAATATAAAGCTTCATCCTTTCTTCATGAGGTAACTCCCTGAGGTCCCACAAAGGATGCAGGATTGGACTACCTCAGCCAGACAACAAAAAGACACAACAGTGATAACTATTTGATTTAATTCATACACGTTTCGCATCAGCCTCCCAAAGGACAGCTTAGTCCCACTGAATCCCACATTTTTTCACCTGGCAGCTTCCATGCAACTATGATTTTCATCTCCAAGAAGAGACAGCACTGGACAATCACAAAACAATTGATTTGATCAAGGACAGAGAGACGTGAAAGTCAAGTGAGAGGGGCAGCCCAGACTCCCAGGCCTCCTTATGTGAATGATGAAGAGCACACAATAAATCTGATATTCATGAACATTTGCAGAGGGAGAATACCAGGTTTCCAGTTTAAGAGTCTTGTAACATATAAACTTCTTCCTTTAGGTCTTTGTTAAAAAATTGATATATTCTATACAATGGTACTAAGTTGTGTTCTTATTGCTGTAGCACATCATGGTTACTGCTGGGGAAAAATAACTTGCAAGCATTGGTAAAAGAACAGTGGACAAAGTCAAGAAAAATCCACACCTTCTGGATTTTCCTTAAGAAGGGGGCTCTGCATCAGGTAGGTAAGCTAGTGAAGCCTTCAGATCCTCTTCCTGTCAACTCCAAGAGGCATCAAAGAAATAGAATACAACAAAGACCAACAAGGTGGAGATGGAAGAGGGAAAAGGGTCATACTTTGGTCTAGATTTTGCGGGGTGGATGACAGGTGAGAAAGGAACAGCACCGGCACTTTTCCTAAATGGGAGGCCCTGTAAATGTCCCTTGTTGCAAGGGATCCCTTCCTTTCTCTTTAATTTCATGAATCAACTTCTTAAACTGATATGTACCCATTTGTATCAAGTGAAGCCATAATGCTTGCAAATAATCTACCAATGAAATTTGGAGATGGCAATCCAATTAGAACCATTTGTTATCATTTGCTGAAGATTTCTTGCATGAGCACAATTAACTTGATTTGGATCACATCTTACCTATGAAGCTGCCTTATACAGAGTACAATGGCTGGCCCTGCTAATTCAGTATTGTTTATTCTAACTGGCAGAATCTCTCCAGTGTTCCAGGAAGAGAGAGAACTTTCCTAACACCTGTTAACTGAAATGCTCTTAAAGCTGGAGATGGAAGGACTGAACCTGTGGCCTTCTGCATGCTTTGAAATATGTAAGTAGGATAATAAAAGAAAATAAATTAGCTCTGGCTCTGAAATATCAAGAATGGCGCAACAGCATTTCTGTGGGAAAAGAATCCAATACTTTTTAACATTGTGATGGACACAGACTCAGTCTGAGAAGATTTTTACTACCCAACTTTAGGCCAGCCATTTTGACGATGACATCCATGTGATGAGTGCTTCTTTTCCCCATTGTAGGCACATCCTGTCCATTATTATGTTACATATTTATGCATTTGTACACCAAATCACTGGCTTCCACTCACAGGGAGGCACACACAATGGTATCAGGACAGATGGAACTACACATCACAGCTTTTCAACGTTTTCCAGGTACAGACTGTAGAACTGTGTAATGAAAAGATATCCTTTAATGCTTAAGAATTTAACCTTTAAATCTGCCTGGATTTAAGACAATTGCAAAAAGGGATATTTCTCTCTTCCACCCTGTTCAAGAGACCAAGATTATTTATGACCGCCCACATGAGCTATTATTAATTCTTCAGTATCTTATGCTAATGTTAAAAGTTTTAGTCATCTCATCAGAGTAAATGGAATCCATGTGATTTAGTCACAACCCATGAACCAGGAAGAGTGGCATGAGGTGGCATAATTTCTCAAAATCATAATGCTTAAAGGTAATTTCTTCAGAACATTTGGCAAGGATGCAAAACACAGACATACTCTCCATCTCTGGAAGTTTCTGGTAAAATGGGAATGGAATAGAAATACTGTATGTGAGGAAGCTCTAATTAAGAGCTGAGTGTTATGGTTCTGCACTCTCTTAACTTCTGCCACTTCATTACCTTAGAAGCAAAAGCAGTTGCAATTGCAGTAGCAGATACAATGTGAGGCAACTTTGGGACTGAGGCTCATACCAACCATTCACATTCTGTTCTTGGCCCAGTCTGCAGTGGGTGGATAGGGAACATCATGAGCTGTAAATCAGTGCAATGGGAACCCAGGAATCAAATTAGGATTTCAGCCCATGCAATATGTATCCAACACCCACTCCAAAAGGCTTTGCAAACCCAGAACAAAGTTGAAATCCAGCCTCAGAGATGAAGCTATCAAGCCAGTCTCTTGGCATCTTTCTGAAGGGAGCAGCAAAGACCACACTTCACATGTGAAGAACAGAGGGCCACCAGTTTTCTGTGCTTGCAATCATAAGCATTTGTTCTTCACCTCCTTAGCAATAATAATATAAACACAGGCAACTGAGTGGGAAGGGTTACCTTTCTAGCAACAAGACAGACTAACTACAAAAAGTGCAAATATCAACAGCATTGGTCCCATGAAGTCATGAACCTCAGACAGAGTTTATTGGCCTGGGAGATGGTAAAACTTGACTGCATTTAAAAGCAAGAATTTTAATTAAACGAAGGGAAGACACTTGTCTGCAGTGTTGCTGTAAACCAAATAAACAAATGGGGGGAAAAATTAAGTATACCATAAAAAATTCATGTCAACAGAACCAATGTGGAAAAGTGAAAAATGAATAATTTTCTACATTTGGAAAAAGAATTTGAGGATCTGGAAGTCTTGAGTCACTTTTTTCTCTTTTTAAAAAAAGTCTTAAAACACATGGCTTTACAAGCTGCTGCTCAGAAAATATACATCCCCAAGTCCGACTTTCATTTAAATACAAATGTACAAAATGTAAACTGAGACAATAGAGAAATTTACAAAACCGTTCCTCTAAAAATAATAAGGACAAAATTCAGTTCTAGGTATGATGCTATTTTAAATACGTGCAAGTTGTCATACTCTGGTTTCTATTGCAGTGTCCTACAGAGACAACGTTGAGTCCCATGACTTCGAGTGCCACCTCCAAAACAGACCTGAGAGAAAATTTCTTCTTAAATGGGAGGCTCCACTGGAAGGAACAGAGGGAAATTTCTCCCACAGTAGGAGACTGTTGATCTTCTAGCTCAACGGTGGATGCTGTCTCATTCTTGAAGCTCCATATGGTATAGTGGAAGGATGTGAAGTGAAGGTTCACAAAAGAACAGGTAGAACTAGCTGCTTCCAGTGGAATTTGAACTTACATGGTTGGAATTTATATGATGATTTAAACTGGCCTTTGAATTTGGCGAACTCTTGGAATTGTTCTGGTGCTAAAGGAATTAAATTTTTTAAACAAAAAAATCAGATTTCCATATTGTTGTATATCTATATACCTAATTCTTAACTTCTTTCAGAATGTGGATCAAAAATCCACACAATAGGGCTGGTTACCGAAAGGGGAGATGTCTCTACAAACCTGGGGTGGGGAGAAAGGAACCCGGTGACCGTTGTTAAAATATAATTCTGTGTACTGAATTTATTCTTTTGTTATGTGCTCTCAGCTTATGATATGGGCTTAGATATAAATCTAAATTGGTAAATGACATAATTCCCTGCCCTCTACTGCAATGAAAGACACCATAACATCCCTGTCTTAAGTATTACTTCTCTTCCCTCTTTCCCGCTAAACACTTTGAAGTTGCTTGGTCCATGTCTTGCCTCAGTACTAAACCCCTTAGAGCTACATCTTAGGATAAATCTCACAGCTGTATATAATGACCACAGTTTCATCTCACCTAAATATGAATGACTCTCTTATCTCTAGCCGCTTCCACTGGGACTTTCCTGCTAGCCGGATATGTATTTGAGCTGACTGAACAGGTTTAAGTACCATACTGTTAGCGGGAGCCCTGATGCTCTTTTTCATTATGAAACAGGGATATTTGCTTAAAATGAGGAAGACATTCTCCATCTCTTGATCATTTTCATGGATGTGCTTTATATACATGACCTTGACCAAAAGTAGGACACCTTCTGTAGTTCAAAACAGTAGATTGCTTCTAGAGTAAAAGATTTTGCATTACAAGCAAGTTATAGATTTTCCATCAAGTGGAAACCTGTCACTTCTAGTCAGCTGAAGGAACTCATTTGAGAGCTTATTAGTTGAGATTTTAAAAGTAAACGTCCAAGTGCATATTTATTGAAAAATACATCTAAAGTTGATGACATTTCTAACTTTAATTCTCATGTCTGAACACAGATACTGAAGTAAGAAATGCATGTTCTCCAAAATTCTACAAAAGAGAGACTGCAAATAGGCATCAAAGAAAAATGTACTAAGCTGCCCTTTCATTAAAAAATTCTTCAGAGATAACAACTGCAAGTCCTTGTGTGACAAAAAAGGTTCTACTGAAGCACTTAGAATTTGGATTAACACAATACGTGTCTGATTCCATATTAGAAATTGAGCTCTGTGGCTAACTGAGGCTAATACACATTCATCTGATACAAGAAAAAAACATTTGCATTTATAATGGCTCTTACCTATGTACAAATAGAGGTGCTCACCTGGCGTTTAAATATTCTATGGAGCAATCCTTTCTTAGGTGGTTCTGGTGGGTAGTTTCTGTTAAGATCTGGTGAGACAGTACCATTTGGTCCAAATATATTTAGTTCTTTAAAACACTCTGTTTCTATCATCTAGTAAAACAGGAAAAAAATGGACCAGTTAATAGGTTGTAGCAGTCCAGAACCTTACCGTAGTAGGCAAAATGTGGATCCTACCTCCAAGGTACACATGGCTTAAATAAACAGACTTTGAATTGACAACTGTCATCTGATCTGAGGCTGAAAACTACTTACTACCCTTCAAGGTGTACGCTGTTTCTTTTAAGCTCCGTGACTGCAGCAAATGCTGTAAGAAAGGAGGATGGCTGGATGGTATGGATCTGAGCCCCAACAAAATGTCCTTTAAATGTTTTTTACTCACAGTCTGCTGGGAAGGAATTTGCCCCTAGATCAAATTGGCTGATGATTCTGGGATTTAGTTTGTTTTTGTTCTCTGTAATACTGAAGTCTGGATTACTCAGGGCTAATCTGTGGAGAGAAAGTGATTTTGCCTCACAGTAGAAGCTTGACTAGTTGGGTCTTCTTTTAAATGAACTCTTGGACAAGAGCATTTGCTTCAGAAGAATGCATCCCTAAATCCAGGTAATGCAGAAGGGATGGGCTGAAATTTGACAGTGGGAGCAGGCCAGGGAATGACAGTTGTTTAAGAAGAACAAAGGAGCATTGGGGAAACCAGGCATCATTCAGATGCAGACGAACTACTCTGTGCAAGGATCTCTTGCATGCTTGTATTCTCTTTGTCATTGCAGCACATGACAAACTCGTTTAGTAGTTGGCAATGTTCACCTATGGCATGCCTTACGGATAGTGAGGGTGCCAGTTTGGTGTGACAGCCAGTTTGGTGTAGTGGTTAAGTGCGTGGACTCTAATCTGGGAGAACCGGGTTTGATTCCCCACTCCTCCACTTGCACCTCGCTGGATGGCCTTGGGCAAGCCGTAACTCTGATAAGAGCTGTTCTTGAAAAAGAGCAGTTTCAGTCAGAGCTCTCTCAGCCCCACCTACCTCACAGGGTGTCTGTTGTGGGGAGGGGAAGGGAAAGGAGTTTGTAAGTCGCTCTGAGACACCTTTGGGTAGTGAAGGGTGGGGTATAAATCCAATCTCTTCTTCTTATTCTTATCTCAAATGACATTTCCAGACCTCAGTTCCATGTGAAATTTCTCATAGTACAACTCTATTCTGATTGCACTGGGATTTACATGATGGCAATCATGCCAGTCTAGAATCAGGAAAATCCCCATGAACAGTTTCTTTAGAGAAATGACCATGGGAAAATTGTATATGATGGCTGGGAAGCTAACAACAGTTGTCTGCTCACAAAAAGTTGTTCTACAGTATGAGGCCACTTGCTCCACTATCTTGCTATGTTTATCGGCTCCCATGATATTCTGCCAGCGTACTAACAAGTCAATAAAACGCAGAAAGAATTTGCCGCCATGTTCCCAAGTGAGGGAATGTAGTTTTTTGAGAACAAAGAGTGCTCATAGTTGAATGCTGAACTACTGAAACGGGGGGAAATAGTCATAATTTATAATGGAATTGTTATCTTGAAGTCTTGCAAGCTGTCACTATTTTCCAATACCAATAAAAACCTTATAAAACCTTATAATGATGCAGGATGTGATGTGTGTAATAGTAGATGTTAACAACAGCTCATATTCTGGACATTTTAAAATTGTGCTTCATCCAGACCAAATTCTCTAGTAGTTGAGTGTATCATGTAATGGCATATACAAAGAGCTGGATTAATTTATCCCGACTTTCTGAAAAAGACTGTCCTCATTCATCTTGGCTAAAACAGCCTCCCCTGTGCATAAAAGCCATACCCCCCCCAATGTTTCTTACAAGGAAATGCTACATCACATTTCTGTAACAAATGTGACTTAGTGTTGGACTGGGATCTGGGAGACCCAGGTTCAAATCTCTACTCAGCCACAAAAACTCACTATAAAAGAAAAAATGTCCAGCATATATGTTCAAACTTCAATTAGTTCAAAGATAAATATGTTCAATAAATTTGGTAAACATCAGGGGACCAACAATCATTCCAAAAGGCTTTGGAAAACTTGCCCAAACTCTTCTAGGGAGTGCAGCAAGAGGAGGATACGGTGGCCAATGCCAACATAAGGATGGGTTCATCTGTGAAACACCACATCTGGAAAAACTGAACCGTATCTTGAAAAGATTTGAATGAAGGCTGACCTGGATAGCCCAAGCAAGCCCAATCTCACCAGATCCCAGAAACCAAGCAGGACCAACTCTGGCAAGTACTTGGAAAGGAGACATCCAAGGAATAGCTCCAACCTCCTGGAACAAGCTCCCTGGCGAGATCAGGGCCCTGCGGGACCTCTCACAGTTCTGCAGGGTCGTGAGCTTTTCTGGCAGACATTTCAATAGGAGCTGCACTTTTATCAGCTAAGCCCTGTGCCGACCTAGAGCTAGAAGCTACCCAGAATGGTATCCACCGCTGATCATGTCTATGAATGCACTTTATTTTTTTTAATATAATTTTTAAATTATTTTTAACATATACAATATAAACAATATAAATAACATGATATATAGGTTCAGTGATTCAACCATTAAACAATGTATAAACAACATAGCTCTCATGTACACTCAGTATCATTTCGTAGAGGAGAAAAATTGTTAGCATTTGTTCAATAAAATGCAATATCTATATTTCTTTGGAATAGCCCATCTCTTATTCGGTGAGTTTGTAATGTAATCAAAGAAGGGGAACCGTTTTTTGAGAAAATTGGGAAGTTTTTGATTGTTATTAAAAGATATCAATTGAGTGGCCAACTTATCTGATACTGCTAAGTCCCACACTTTCATGAACCATTGAGTCAAAGTCATCAAAAGCTTATCCATTCTCTTGAAATGACCCTGCCTGTGATCTCAGGTTAAGTGAAAAATGTGGTAAAGCAGTGTTCCTCAATGCGTTACCCACAGGTGACATGGTGCCTGTAGCATAGGTGGCAGAGTGCCCCCATTAATGTATAGCGGGAGAGTATGGAACCCATGGTGAACAGTGGCCCTGAATCCACTGTGTGGCAGAGAAACAAGGGGGTTCGGGCAGGCAGGCGAGCAGAGGTGTCCCTGTCTGCTGTGCCATGGGGGGGTGGAAGGAGCCAGGGCAGGCAGACAGTGCCCCCCCCCGCCGCCAATCAACTGCTTAGGGGAAGCAGTGTCCAGCATCTCTCACTCTCTCTCTCCCTGGCAGCAGCTGGAGCTCAACAGGAGGAAGCAAAGTGCTTTCCCCCAAAGCCAGGGCAAGGAATAAACAGAGAAATGCTTGACTTGCTTGTGCTGAACCTCGCTGGCTGCTGGAGAAAGAAAGACAAAGAGAGAGCGAGAGGAAGAGGAAGAGATGCTGGGGGAGGAAGTGAAACACACTGCACTTACAGTCCCATCTACAGTTGTCAGACTTTGGCTGGCAACCCTAGTGTGAGTGTTGTGGCCTACATTTCATGTGCCAACCATTTTGTTGTTGGTTCTGAAATAGGTATTTTGTTATGGTACCCATCACACACTTTCAAAATTCCAAAGGTGCTCAGAAAAGTTGTGGACTCCTTTAGCAAACAGTTACAAAGAATGATAGGGGTTTTTTTTAATTAAAAAAAGAGTTAAATGTTGGAGGAGAAGCCATCTGCCTTCTGGTTATGCCTGGGAAAAAGTAGTATTGTTGTTGTGAATATGGCTGTTGGAGTTGTTGCATTTAGGGTCTCTAGGCCTAAGCTGTAGATAAAGCCTGATCAGTTCCTTCAGAAGTAGCTGGGATCAATTCTTTGAGGAACCCTAAATTCTCATTACAATTAAAAAAAACTAGAAAGGGACATAATTCCTTATTTGGGGGAGGGTAATTTATTTAATTTTTTAACAAAGCAAGCCAAAAAGTCTTTCACTGGCACTCTTGGACAGAAATCTGAAGTAGGAAATGCACTGCTTTAGGAATACCAGCAGCATAGGGTTGCCAGGTCCCCCTTGGCCACTGGTGGGGGATAGGGAGGTGGGGTTGCCAGATCCAGGTTGGGAAACTCCTGGAGATTTGGGAATGAAGCCTGAGGAAGACAGGGATCTCAGCAGGGTACAATGCCATAGAGTCCACCCTCTAAAGCATCCATTTTCTCCAGGGGAACTGATCTCTGTAGTCTGGAGATAAGCTGGAATTCCAGGATATCCCCAGGTACCACCTGGAGACTGGCATCCCTATGAGCAGCACAAGGCATGGATAGTGACGCATGTTTCTCAACCATCTCCTTGTTTTAAAAATCACTTTAATACACACCTCTCAAATGGAAAGTGTATCCATTATTAAATTGGCAAGAACAAACTGATAATATGAATCGCATTTATCCTTGATCTCAGCCAGAAGGCCAAGAAGCAATCCGTCCTCATTTTAATAGGCCACTGCTGAAGTGCACACCCTTCAAACCTGAATAGCTAAGCATTAAAACATTGGACATTCTTGCTTTCATGACTATTCTAGGGAGATCATTTCCAAGTTGAGGAAAGAAAATTACTCTGAGATCCATTAGAGTACTTCAAAGTACACGTTTGCTATTTATGAAACTTTAAAAGCCTGATAAGGAAGACATTAAAGGAGACTAATGAAAAAAATACAGTTACCTCATTCTGCCATGGAATAGAGACACAGCCTGTGGAAAACTTGGAATAAAAGTCATCATCTGTTTGGTCCAGGTTCACTCCCTTGACAGTTGAAAATTGTTCAATGTCCAAGACGTCTTTGCAGTAGACTGCCCTAGGCTGCACCAGCAAAGAAAAGAAAGGATACGTAGAAGAGTCTGAATACGCGGTATGAGTGACATGTGTGAATGCTTAACAGTAACATTGCATTCCATTAAGGCTTTGCTATGCATGTTTGCCATGGGTGTGGTTACAATAAAAAAATATTTCTCTGTTCATCAGTATAATGGATGAAATTGTTAATCGAAGGTTTAATCGTGACTCTAATTAGATTTCAGACAAAGCTGCCTCCTTTGAGACAGTGTTCAGTGGTATGTAGTCAACATATTTACATCTCTTGATTCACACAGTTCCCATTTGGAATGAGTTTCCTAACCAATGTTTTGTCTGTTTTTATTCCGCACAAAGAGTTGCATCAGACAGTCTTGGGCCCGAGGTTATCTAATGAATGTGTTTGCTTGAAATAAAAAAACACAGACATCATTTATTGCTCAAAATCCCCCCCCATTTTGGCCAGTTCTACAGGGGAAAGCGGGCACTGGGGTGGAGCTGTTGATGTGGCCACCGTTACCATCTACAGTGGTGGTGGCGAGGCCCACACCACGGTCCTACCTTTGTGGAACATTATTGGATTGATTGAGTGGCTTGGGTGGCGTGGGGCTCCAACTGTAGAGCCCCAGCGCAAATACAACCCCCCTGGATCCAGCTGGGCCTTGGGGCCGAGAACAAAGGAGTGCGTATCAGGCCTTATGTCCGGCAGGACGCTAATAACTTTGGCCAGCTTGGACTGGTCATTAGATCTCAAGCAAAGACCACAGACGAAAGACCTGGAACTAGGAAATGAAGATCTATGGCCCAGCACAGCGCTGAAACCCTCTCTGGGGAGGAGAGTGAAGGCTTTTGGACTCCCTCCTCCAAACTTGTCATTCTGTGACTTTGCTGGGGACAAGGCAAGAAGGATATTAATCCAGTTGCTAGGGCAGGGTAGTGGTTCTAGTGCACCTGCTAGAATTAGGAACAGATTACAGTAGTTAGCTATATAATAGTAGTAGTGAAGTATGTTTTCCCACCCTATTGTTAATTAGTCTTAACAGAGTAGTTTTAATCTTGCAGGGGGAGAGAGTAGCAAGAAAGGAAGTTGGGGAGGGTAAGTTTATTATGTTCTAGAGATTTCTATTGTAACTGTTAAATAGTACATTTGGTTGATTGAATTCGGTGGTTAGCCAATTGGGTAGTTGGGTGGGTGTGGGTGGTATAGGAGGCAGGTTACTCAACGACTGGATACTAGCTCAGTGGTGGCCAAGGCTAATGAGCAAAGGCCACCAGTGGGCGATGACCAGCCAAGGGATACCAGTGCTCCTGGGGAGGGGAAAGTATTGCGGTGGGACTAGGTGAAATTGGAAGGGAAGGTAATGGAGACGTAGAAGGGCTCGGTCCCCTTCCAGCCTATGTCCCATCCCGAAGGTAGTAGGTAGTGGGGCTAGGATTATGGACCCCACTCCGACATTGGTGTTGTGCAATGCCAGGTCCATAAATAATAAGACCATGATTCTTCATGACTTATTGTCAGAACAGGACACGGACCTGGCATGCATGACTGAGACCTTGGTGCGAGATGGAAAGATCACAGCTCACTCCCAGTTAGTTCCACCCGGGTTCTCAGTCCTCCACCAATCCCGGACTAAGGGGTGGGGGGTGGCTCTGTTCATTTGGGAGGTTTACACCTTCAGAGCACTTCCACCGGCGAAACTCACGGGCATAGAGTGTGCCGGTTTTGTATGGGAAGCTGTGGAGAGTTTGGCTGTTTGGCTGGTGTACCATCTGCTCAATGCACCAGCAAATAGCCTGCCATCACTGCTGGAGGCCGTATCAGGCTGGGCACTGGAGCACCCTAGACTGTTAATCCTAGGTGACTTCAAAGTCCATGCTGATGAAACGACCTCCATGCCGACAATGGATCTGGTGTTGTCCATGGCGGTGCTAGGACTCTCTCAATATGTTACGGCTCCCACTCACCAAGCAGGACAGACGCTTGATTTGATCTTGGCGGCGGGAGTTACAGTGGACCGGATTACGGCTATGGCTGTTCCATGTTCGGACCACCATGTTCTGAAGGCCCACATGAACGTGACACCCCAACCCAGTTTGGGTGGCGAGCATATTTTAGCTCGTCCACGGAGCCAAATGGACCCTGTGCAGTTCCAAATGACCCTGTGGGATCCGAGGCCTCCAGCGGCTCACTGGATGAGCTTGTCGAGGACTGGCAAAACTGACTCTTGGCAACCATTGACGAGATCATTCCCCAGCGCCCTCTGCGCCCCCGCTCAAAACTCACTCCTTGGTATACACAGGATTTGAGGTTGATGAAGCGGGAGCTTAGATGACTAGAGAGACAGTGGCGACGTGCTTGCGATGAAGCGTCAAGAGCATCCTATAGGATGTTTATGAGATGCTATGAGATGGCAGTCAAGGCCACGAAAAAAGATTATTATGTGGCCACAATTGCGTCTGCGAGGTCTTGCCCAGCCCAATTATTTAGAACAATTCAATCTCTCACTACTCTGCCACAGGTCAGGCCAAACAATAAGGAACTGGAAATCGGCTGTGAGGCTTTCGCGAGCTATTTCGCAGATGAAGTCTTGTTACTCCGCCACGACCTCTCTGCCACAGTTGAGACAGTAACGGAACTCGAGACTCCATGTGTGTCTTCTAGTCAAGTTCTGGATTATTTCGGTCCACTCAGCCTAGAGGAGGTTGACAAATTACTCTCATTGGTTCGCCCAACCACCTGTAGCCTAGATTCGTGCCCATCATGGCTAATTAAAGCAGGCTGTGATAAGAACATAAGAGATGCCAATGTTGGATCAGGCCAAAGGCCCATCCAGTTCAACACTCTGTATCACACAGTGGCCAGAAATACCAGTGCCATCAGGAGGTCCACCAGTGGGGCCAGGACATTAGAAGCCCTCCCATTATTGACCCCCCCAAGCACCAAGATGACAGAGCATCACTTGCCCCAGAGTCCCTATCTATACCTTGTGGCTAATAGCCACTGATGGACCTCTGCTCCATATGCCTATCTAATTCCCTTTTGAAGCCGTCCATGCTTGTAGCCGCCACCACTTCCTGTGGCAGTGAATTCCAAGTGTTAATCACTCTTTGGGTGAAGAAGTACTTCCTTCTATCCGTTCTAACCAGACCGCTCAGCAATTTCATGGAGTGCCCACAAGTTCTTGTATTGTGAGAAAGGGAGAGAAGTACCTCTTTCTCTACCTGCTCTTTCCCATGCATAATCTTATAAACCTCTGATGAACCTCCCGCTTCATCAACCTCCTGTGTATACCAAGGAGTGATGGGCTGCGAGGGGCACCATCAACAAGTCCCTTGTGGAGAGACTGTTCCCTAGTGCCCTAAAGGAGGCAGTGGTCCACCCCCTCCTAAAAAAGCCATCATCAGATCTGGCTGAATTCTCTAATTACCGGCCAGTATCTAACCTGCCCTATTTGGGTAAATTAATTGAGAAGGCGGTGGCGAATCAGTTGGAGGGGTTTTTGGGTGACGTCTCCATATTAGACCCCTTCCAGTCTGGCTTCTGACCAGGCCATGTGACAGAGATGGTCTTGGTCGCCCTCACAGATGATCTCCAGAGGCATCTGGATCGAGGCGGTTGATGTTGTTAGACCTGCCGGCAGTTGACCATCAACTACTGATCCACCACCTCGCCGACACCGGGATTCAGGGGTCTGCCTTACAGTGGCTTTCCTCATTTCTTCAGGATTGGGGACAGAGGGTGGCAATTGGGGAACAGCTAAAATGGAAGGCACCCGCTAATCTGCGGAGTGCCCCAAGGAGCAGTGCTCTCCCCAATGCTGTTTAATATCTATATTCGCCCCCGAGCCCAGATTGCCCAGGGACATGGACTGGGTTGTCACCGATATGCTGATGACACCCAGCTCTATCTGTCATTGGACAGCCAGTCAGACTCTAATCCGGGAGATCTGGACCTGGCATTGAAAGCTGTGGCTGGTTGGCTTAGGGTGAGATGACTGAAATTGAATCCGATGAAGACAGAGGTCCTGTGCCTGAGTCAGAGCGGTCCAAGGTTAGGGATCACTCTCCCGACCTTCGATGGGGCACCGCTGGTGCCAGCGCCGGAGGTTAGGAATTTGGGAGTGCTCCTGGATACCTCCTTAACGATGGAGGCCCAGGTAGCAGCCACTGCGAAGTCTGCCTTTTACCATCTACGGCCGATCAAGCAGTTGGTTCCCTTCCTTGACTGCAATGACCTGGCGACAGTGATCCACGCAATGTGCACCTCGAGATTGGATTACTGTAATGCTCTCTACATGGGGCTGCCCTTGTCCCAAATCCAGAAACTGCAGCTGGTAGCAGCAAGGCTGTTATGTCTTCCTGTGTGGGAACACATCCAGCCCGCCCTGAAAGCACTGCACTGGCTGCCTACAGCATACTGGATACGGTTCAAGGTGCTGGTTCTTTAAAATGCTTCTTGTATCAGAGAGTCAGGGAGTTCAAGAATTAATCTTCCCTTGAGATAAGAGTTTAGGGGGTTGGCTGCTCTTCTAGCTCTCTGACTGACCCACATCAGCAGAGAGAGAAAATAAAACAGCTGATCTGGAGGGAAAAGGAGTCTTTCCCAAGTTGGTCTTTCTAACACCTGAATCAGTAGCCAGAGGGTTTGGCTTCTGAGGGAAGAGACATTTGGGAGACTGTGTTTTCTGACAGGCAATAGTCAGAAAAGTACTTCTACAGAGAAAAGAAGAGAAACCCCATTGTCTAAAATTGCTCTGAGGGAGAATTTTAGATTCCTAGTCAGAAAAGCTACAGAAAGACAAAGGATACTGGAGAAGCATTTGGCAGAAGGTCTGTGTAGTTAGAGAGAACTCCAATACAAGCCAAATACTAAAAGGAGTTATTGCTTCTTAGGGACAAGGAGAGTAACTTCCTGCCAGTGAAAGGGGTTGGGAAGAGAACCCTGGTCTGTGATAAAGTGAAAAGCTTAGACACCTCAGGAGCTAGTGAAAAGCTATAATATCTAAAGG